TTGGTGCTCTTCCAATTTCTGGCAATTACGGATTCGGCTGCCATTAACAGCAAGGAAATAAGGTCTTTATGAACTTTGGGGGATTTCCAAATCATCCCATAAATCTAATAATATGAGAGTGGGTGAGAGAGGTAGAGTTATGTTGGTTATTTTTTGAACGTTTCGTAAGATTAAAGACCAGAAATTCCTGATTGTTTTGCAAGTCCACCAGCAGTGATAGTATGTGGCAATTTCACTACATGATCGCCAACAAACAGGTGAGTATAATTTATTAATCTGGTGGAGTTTGGCCGGTGTGTGGTACCATCACAGAACTACCTTCAAAGCTTGGACCTTTATGTTTAATGATTTCACAAACTCAGTTAAGGTGCCTAGCAAATATATGTCATATGTGGAATAGGTAGGGCTCAAAGTAGTAGTTTTGTGGATGGAGGTGAATCCTGATTTAGTATCTTGAATGATTCAACAGCCTGAATCTACATTAGGAACATCTACACTAGGAACATGTCTGTATTTCTGAGATACACTCCGGGAGTCACATGGTGTTTCTTCAGAAAGCATGGCTGTAGATCAGCTATAAATAAGTTTTCATATTTGGGTATTATATTTATTGTCTCCAAACTCTTCTCTTGGTAATGGATGGATGAAGGTATGTATGAGGGTTTGTTTTTTTAGTTTGCTTTTCTGGCTGTTGTGGGGCTTTTTGCTTGTACAGCTTTCACCATAATATTAAACATCTATTCCACCTTTAAATACTTGAGGTCCCTTCCAGCAATATATTTCTGTTTCTAAATTTTTTTTGTCTCAGATGTTCCATCATGATTCTGTACATTCGAGCATGCACAATTATAATGCATGGCTTCCTGTCTGGCTTCCGAATTATTTCACAAACTCAGTTAAGGTGCCTAGCAAATATATGTCATATGTGGAATAGGTAGGGCTCAAAGTAGTAGTTTTGTGGATGGAGGTGAATCCTGATTTAGTATCTTGAATGATTCAACAGCCTGAATCTACATTAGGAACATCTACACTAGGAACATGTCTGTATTTCTGAGATACACTCCGGGAGTCACATGGTGTTTCTTCAGAAAGCATGGCTGTAGATCAGCTATAAATAAGTTTTCATATTTGGGTATTATATTTATTGTCTTGGCAGTGATCTGGATTCATAAATTAATGTTATCTCTGTATCCATAACAACCATAGGTGAGTAGAAAGCATAACAGTTCAGTAGTGGTTTGAACAGATGCCATCTGGAATGGCATGAACAATTGCCTCTGCAGTCCATCTTCATGGGTGAAGTTAGTATATAGTGCTGACGACAGTTCCTTGTGGGAAATCTTTTATGGTTGTAAACTTAATCAGGAAGTCTGCATTATCATACCTGGATGCATTTAACACATATGGGCTGTGGTCACACTGGTGGCTTGGCGCGATATGGCACTGCCTCTAATTGTACCAGTTTAAAGTGTTGCGGGCAATGTTCCCTCTAAGCTGTGGAGTCTTGTGAGCAAAAATTCTACTTTGTGAGCTCCTGGCATTAAAGCTGTGAGCGAGCAATTTGGCTACGGCATAAATCAGTTTGCTCTGGAGCCATCCTTCCTGAGCGAAGGCAAAAATGTGTGAGCCAGAGGCTAAAAAACTGTGAGCTGGCTCACACTAACTCAGCTTAGAGGGAACACTGGTTGCGGGGCATAACCCTGCTGCGGGTTACCCATGTGGACATCCTGTGGTCAAGCATCCACATTACTGCAGCGCCTCAGCCACGGAGTGCGCTGCCCAGTCATTTTTCAAAATGCATGCACATGCATGTGCCATCAAGCACCCGCATATGTGCACATGGGCACACATATGCACATGTGCTCATGCACATGCACGCACACACACATATAGGCAAAAATTCAAAAGCACCTGCCCTAGCAGTAGGAATGGAGCTGCAGGTTCAGACCGCCAGTCCATTCTGCCCACACTCCCTCGCATTCAGGCTATGAGCAATGAATGTGCAGGGAACCAAAAACACCACTTGTGGTGTGGTGCCTTTTTAACCCAGCTCCAAGTCATCCTAGGATGGGGTGAGTATGCCCGGGGAATGCCTGACAGATGTGGCTGTGTAACTGCACCCATTTGATCCGGAGGGGAGGGGTGGCTATGTCGGGCCAAACTGCTCATGTGATCACACCCATGGTCTGACACTGGTATTGATCTGACCAGATACTCCTCCAGTCATTTTTTTCGATTATAAAATAGCCTAGAACTTCTTCCTTATGAATCTTAGGTAGCTGATAAGAAGTGCTTGGATGGGGGGGGGGGTTGTGATGATGGTGTCTGCTGTTATTTGTCAGAAACATCAAGATCTTTTAAAATTCTCTTTTACTCCTCAGTTGGATCATTGGGCTGGAGTCAGGAGTAACTGGTGCATGGACACCGCCCTTTCTGTAATCAGTTCGATGTAGTATGGCTGTTCCACCAGCATCTGATGAATCATGTAACAGTCTACAAAACCTCATGCTCTGAAAATAAAAAGACAAGTTGGTTTTGAAGGTACAACTAGACTTTTAATATTTTCTTTACAGACTAATGCAACCACTTTTGAATAACCTGCCCAGGTTCAGAAAGCTAAAAATATTGAATTGACAGAATAATACATAGCAATGGGATCAGAAATAAATAATATTCATTTCCATTTAAAATCCTGTTAATATTCCATTTTCATATTTGGGTATTATATTTATTGTCCTGGCAGTGATCTGGAGCCCATTAACAAATAATTTAGAGCAATTAAATTATTTTGTGATTACAGGGTTGCTAAGCAGCCAGAAAAAATGAATTGGGTAGGGAATTTGGGAACATCACTGCCAGCTGAGTGAGAACTGGGCTGAGCTTTTATTCCCTACCTTTACTCAAAAGGAAGACAACCCTGAACATAAGATGACCCCTTTTAAAAATGTTCTACATAACTTTTGTTGTTGTTATTGGACATAACTGAAACTTGTGTGCGAATTTAAGACAACACCCTCTTTTTTTAAATGACATACCTGGGGGGGGGACCCTTTTCTTGCATTTGAGTAAACATGTACTTTTCTATATTTTAAACCTGGTTGTGGCCAGAGGTTCTTCTAGCAGGGAAAGAAGTTTGGGAACATCGCTGCCAGCCAAGTGAGATCTAGACTGAGCTACTGTACTCTTCTTTGTTATTACAGTTATCTGAACTTAGAGGTGGCCAGAGGTGAGAGCCTTTTGACACGGGCCAAAGCACTCTCGGCCATTGGTTCTTAGCCTATGACTCACAACCACCAATATGCCAAGACAGTGGATATAGGACTCTGAGATGCTGGAGTTCTGTATGTTTGTTTGTTTATATTCTATGTTTGTGTTTCTTTTGTAATATGCTTTGGGGCCCCACTGAGAAGAACAGTGGAGTAGAAATGCTTACATTTAAAAAAAAATAGTGTGATGTGTGAAAATCAGCTTGATCACTTGCAAAATGTTTGCATATCATGAACACATGAAGCTGCCTTATACTGAATCAGACCCTTGGTCCATCAAAGTCAGTATCGTCTACTCAGACTGGCAGAGGCTCTCCAGGGTCCCTGGAAGGGATGCTTCACATTACCTAATACCTGATCCAGTGTTCCCTCTAAGCTGAGTTAGTGTGAGTTAGCACAGTTTTTTAGCCTCCGGCTCACACATTTTTGTCTTAGCTCAGGAAGGATGGCTCCAGAGCAGACTAATTTATGCAGTAGCCAAACTGCTCGCTCACAACTTTAATGCCAGTAGCTCACAAAGTAGAATGTTTGCTCACAAGACTGCACAGCTTAGAGGGAGTACTGACCTGATCTTTTTTAACAGGAGTTGCCAGAGATAGAACATGGAACCTTCTGCATGCCAAGCAGATGCTCTGCCACTGAGCCACAGCCCTGTTAAAGGCAGGGTTGTTGTACCTGGTTGGAAAGTTTGTACTTCAGCCTGAAACAGCATTCTTCCTTCTACTGAAATGAATGGGAGAGTTCATGTACACAAGAGTTTTGGGTGTGTGCTGACTTTCAGACAGTGTGACCACTGTTTATCTATTTCAAAGCAATACATTGTGCATAATACGGTAAGCCCTGTTTTAAATTAATTCCACTAATTAGGATTTTCTATTTCAGATACAGCTTTTCTTTATGAAACCCAGGATACGGTCACACATGCCAGTTGACGCGGATGGGAAGTGAGGCTATTTCTTTGACACACAGTTGCGAGATCACACCTCCCTTTGTAGCTGCAGGCTCAGCCTGTAACTGTGTGATCAGACACAACTGCGGGTGATTCGGGGTTTTTTGGTTGTTTGTTTCCCATGCACATAAACAAAGAATTGCACCTCTGCACTGAGAGCCCCCTACGGAGTATGCGATGATGCACATACTGCGAGGGGGTGTGTGGACTGGCACCGGGATGGCATGATCAGACTATCCCAATGGCATGAGAGCGTGCTTGTGCGATCAGACAGAGGAAAGTCTGTCCATGGCCCATTGGAACCTGTTAGAGCCAGACTTTCCCCAGTGTCTTTTAACTCTGCTTCTGCGGCGGAGCAGCACGGGTTGCTGACGACTGCAGGACGCTTCCCAGATGTTGCTGTGTGATCATGCCCTTTAGATCCGTCAGGCATTCACAGCTATGTCAAATCTAAAGGTGCATATGATCGCAGCCCCAGAGAATCTGGCAATTAGGAAAGTCAATCAGTGTATGGGAGGTGCTGTATCCTGACAGAAAGTATGGATTAAAGTATGTGAGACTGGAAACTCTCCACCTATTCCTAAAATATATGGGTATCTGCCAGTGTCAGTGCAAATGCTTCTGCAAGTGAATTTTTGCAACAGATCAGTACTCAGTTTAAATCAGTGACTTTTAAAAGGCAGCTTTGAGAATTGCCCATTAATAGAAAACTTTCACAATAGATAAGATTTTCTGTAACATTTCAATGACTTGCTCTATTATGATCATATCTAGACACACGAAGCATGAGAAATGAAGCCAAACAAAGCATGGGAAATGAGAATGTAACATCATGGACAGAGTTTCTTCTCGTGGGGCTCATTCATCACAGGACTCCCACCGTTTTCTTTGCCATAGTTCTCTTTATGGCTTCCATTGCTCTGATGGGGAACTGTCTCCTCCTGTTTCTAATCCAAACTAACTCCACCCTTCACACCCCAATGTACTTGTTCCTTAGTCAACTGGCCTGCATGGATATGGGCCAAGTCCTCATTGTGGTCCCGAAGATGTCAGTGAACTTTTTAACCCAAAGAAACACCATTTCACTCTCGGGGTGTGTGGCCCAGATTTTTCTCACTCTGACTATGGGGAGCTCAGAATGCTTTGTCTTGGCCTCCATGTCATACGACAGGTACGTGGCCATCTGTAGACCCTTACAATACTCAGTCCTCATGAGGAGAAAAATCTGCCTTGCTCTGACAGTAGGAATCTGGTCTTCATCAGTGCTTCTGATCATGGTCATAGCCTTTTATGTACTGTTTCTGCCTTACTGTGGGTCCAATGTGATCGACCATTTCGTCTGTGAGTTCCCAGCTCTGCTGAAATTATCTTGTGCTGACACTTCCGCCTTTGAAAAAATGGTATATATTGATAATGTAATAATACTTCTTCTCCCAATCTCAGTCATTGTTTCCTCTTACGTAGCCATCCTTGTGCAAATTTTGAGCAGGCGCTCAACTGAAGGCAGGCAAAAGGCCTTGGGGACCTGCTTGTCTCACTTGTGTGTGGTTGGCATCTTCTACGGGGCATCCATGCTTACATACTCAACTCCCGTACATTCCTACTCTGCGGAGAGGTCTATGATTTACTCCGTGTGCATCACTGTTGTCCCCCCAATGCTGAACCCTTTTATATACAGCCTGAGGAATCGGGATGTTCTAGCTGCAGCCAGAAAGCTGTTTTTGAATTGTACGTCTCAGAAATAATATCCAGCAAATTATCTCATAAGTTCAAAATCTGAAAAAATTATTTCAAAACTTTGCATTTTACTTTGAATTTCACTTTTGAGTTTGCAGTCACACGTGCCAGATGAAGCGGGGGGTGGGGGGAGAGTGAGGATATCCCTTCCGGATCAGTTAGAAACGTGGTTGAGAGATCACACATTCCTCTGAAGCTGAGGGCACAGCCCGTCACTGTGTGATAAGATGCAACTGCAGGTGAGTCCATTTTTTTTTTGCTGTTTGTTTCCCATGAACTTAAACGAGGAATCGCACCTCAGCACTGATAGCTCCCTATGGAGTTTGTGATAATGTGCATACTGTGAAGGGGGGAAAAACAATCACACTGAGTCAGGATGGCCTGATCAGATTATCCCGATGGGCGATGGCATGACAGCATGCCTGAGCGATCAGATAGAAGAATTTCCGTCTGTGGCCCGTCACAACCCGTTTACTACTGGACTTTGAATAAGTGCTGGTATTGGACCGTTACACACGCTTAGCGCAACACGCACCTCAGCACTGATAGCTCCCTATGGAGTTTGTGATAATGTGCATACTGTGAAGGGGGGGAAAAACAACCACACGGAGTCAGGATGTCCTGATCAGACCATCCCAATGGTATGACAGCATGCCTGAGCGATCAGATAGAAGAATTTCCGTCCGTGGCCCGTCACAACCCGTTTACTACTGGACTTTCCCCAGTGTCTTTTAACACTGCTTCTGCGGCTGAGCAGCATGGGTTGCTGATGGCTGCGAGACACTTCCCAGATGTTGCTATCTGATCACTCCCTTTAGATCCATCAGGCATTCACTCCGGTGACGCAGCTTCGGAGGCGGAGTTCCCCCCGGGGCCCGATTCCGCCGCGTCGAAAATCGGGCCTCCGAAGCGGGGGATTCCCTGCCCCCCGCCCCCATTTGGCAACCCTATGCTATCTGATCGCTCCCTTTAGATCCATCAGGCATTCACGCCTATGTTGGAGCTAAAGGTGCACGTGATTGCAGCCTTGAATGTTGCTTTGCAGGGGGAGGGGACTAGTTTGACAAAAGGGTTGGGTTTTCTTGTGCTTTTAAGTCGTGCTTTAAGTTGGGCATTTAATCAACAATCCATATTGGTTAATGCAGGAGTTCGTCTGATGGGGTGCTTCTTTCTTTTCTGCTCCTTGGAGATCTTCAGGAGGTGCTGCAAGGCCTGCCTGTTTGCCAGGGCTTTTGAGGGGGGTTGAATGGCAGGCATCTTTTAAGGAGGGGAGGAGAGATTTGAAGTTTGTTATTTTGTTTTTGGTTTTAACTGAATTTTTTTTTTAAAAAAACACTGTTATTGTAAGCTGCCTTGAACCATGAGGAAAGGTAGGATACAAATGTTTTAATAAAATTAACAAATACAAATAATGATGGACTGCAGCCTTTTAATACTGACTCAACCGGAGAATGCACTGCAGTAGTTGTGAGTACCTGTCACATCCCTGGGCACCCCAGCCCTGGAGGAGAAAGGGTGGAATATGGGCAACAGTGTAATGGGGCAGAAGGAGGCACCCTGGAGGTCTGTGAGGGCATGGCAGGAGCAGATAGGAGGAAGGAAAACCAGGGCCAGTTCGTGATGGAGAAAAGATCTATTAAAGGACAAAAGTTTCTTTGGTAGAAGATATCTGGGCAAAAACTCTGTGGTAGAAGCCATTTTTTATTTTTACCATAGAGTTTTGACCATAGAGTTTTGTGGTTTAAGCATGGCAGAATGACATTGTCTACATCAGTTAAACAGCACCCCCCCTCCTCTGTACCCTTTGCAAACGCACCCTCCTGGCCCATGAGGCCTTGAAGTGAAAATACACCAACTTGGAGCTTACCAGCTGCTGTCCTTTATACAGTTTATATCTCCATTACCTGGCATTACATTTTATGGCACACATGGCCCAGCCCAACAAAGTGACATTTATGTCAGATCTGGCCCTCATAACAAATGAGTTTGACACCTCTGGTCTAGGGAATGCAGTCTCAAAATATTTAATTAAATGGATGGTAACAAGAAACAAAATTCCCCTGAATGGTTTTGAACCTTGGAGTGACTTTCAGTCTAGCTTTCTAGAACTTGTGGATACTGCAATCAATGAAAGAAAGAATGCTGAAATGGTTTGGCTCCTAAACATTCTCCTTTGTGAATATGAATTTTCTTCTGCACTCATTGTCACTATTTGAAAAGTGAGATTTGACAATCTGATGGCAATGTAGCAGTGAGCAAATAATAATATGAACAATGCAAAACAGCAAGTCACACAAACAAAGAATCTTTCCACAACTGAGCATATACAAGTTGTAAACCATGAGAGAAACAACAATGAAGAGATCCTGGGTACACAATATTCTCTCAATATCTTCTTTCAGATTAGATAAAGAATAGATAGACCTGATACATTTCTAAGTTGAAAGGCTCTGTATCCTCATGGTAATTTATGAAGGTAGAGATAATAACAATAAAAATAATAGCCATGATGGATACTAAGGACTGTATCTTCATAACAATCTTGAAAGTAAATAAATAAATAGCAATAACTAAAACTGACCATAACACCTTTTTTGTCTCCACCAGCAAACTACGTCTAACTTCTGGAGAGTAGATAGCTGCAGGGTGGGAACAATTCAGACCTAAGGATGCCCCTGCTAGATGGCAGCAAAGCTTTGCATATACATGCTGGCTGGCAGGCAGAGCTACATAGACTGGAAGTGAGCATAAAGGCAAAGCTTGGCCCCTTCACTGAGGGTTACAGTATACTTGTACTGCTGTTGATGATACGGTCAATTACTTTGTTTGTACTGGCTGGCTGACAGGTGGAATTGTACAGAGTGGGGGAGGAAAAGGAAAAGACTTTCCCCCGTGATCGACTACACACCTTCTTTACAGACTGATGGGTGGGATAAAACAGTAGGCCAGGCGGTGGATCACACTTCTTTCTTCTATTGATTTGCAGATTATGGAGGGCACAGACCCAGGGGTCAAGGCTTTGTCCCCTTCACCCATCAAATACAACCCATCTGATTTCTAGAGGTAGAAGCTAAGATATCCTCCAATCCTATAAACACCCCACCAAACCAGAATAGGTACAAGAGGGAAGTGATGAGGAAAGATCTGATCACTTCTCTATATAAGACAAAACTACTTATTAAGGATTCCTCAGCATTAATTCCATGTAATAGCAATCCAATCCAAATCCTCCTTCCACCCACAGAGCTATTAAGCAACAACAACAATACAACAATATAACACCTTTATTGGCATATAAAACAATAAAATAAAAATATAAACTTGGTCAGGTAACATTACATCTGCAAATCTTAAAACACATCAGTATTAAAAATTGCTGCCAAAATCTTGGACAAGAATTCAGCAATCTGTCCATCTATTGCTGCAAGATATGTAGGGAGGTCAGATAGAAAAAGATTAAATAAGGCTGGAGCTAATACACATCCCTGCTTAATGCCCTTTGAAACAGGTATTTTATGGGTTAAAAAACCCTTCTTACCATACCTAATTTGGCAAGTATTTGATTGATGGAGTTTACGTACTAGGAAGAGTAGTCAATGGTCTATAGTCATCCTACCTAATTTATCCTATAAGACTTTTAAAAGGCCCTTCTTGCCATACCTAACTTGACAAGTATTCGATTGGTGGAGTTTACTTATTAAAAAGAGTAGTCGGTGATCTATAGTCATCCCACCTGATTTATCCCATAAGATTTGCCTATCAACAGAGTCAAAAGTCTTTTGGAGATTGATAATGGCAGCATAAAGTTTGCCTCTGGGGAAACGGAGATATTTCTCTGCTAAATAAGATAGTACTATACAGTGATCAAGAGTAGAGTGGTTAGTTACAAAACCGATCTGCTCTCTTCCAGGGAGGTTGCAGGATTTCATCCAACTCAGTAGTTTTGAGACAAGGTGTTTAGAGGAACAAACTGGAAACCCCATCCCGCCTTCCAAATCCCCCTGTCAGGTTTTCTTTAAGCTATCCAGGGCTTGAGCAAGCTGACCCTCCCCCCCCCCACACACACAAACATATTCCCCCCCCCCAATCAACACTCTGCTGCTCTCAAAATTTCATCATTTTCAGTCCACATCAGGCTGCTTTCCATGCCATTTGTTTCACTAATTCTCTAAAAACTGATCCAAGGACATTGGCATGTATCCAACCACACATTTCCTCCAATGGAACAGAATTTCTCTTATGGAAGAGCAGAAGGAGGAGGAGGAGGAGGAGAGTTGGATTTATACCCTGCCCTTCACACAGAGTCTCAGAGTGGCTTACAATCACCTTCCCTTCCCCTCTCCACAACAGTCACTCTGTGAGATAGGTGGGACTGAGAGAGCTCTGAGGTTGCAGTCACACGAGCCAGATGAAGCAGAGAGGAAGCGAGGCTATTTCCTACAGAGGAATTTGACTTGCAGTTGTGCAATCACAGTCCTTGGAAGCTGCGGGCATAGCCTGCCACTGCGTGATCAGATGCAACCACAGGTGAGTCGGGGTGTTTTTTTGCCATTTGTTTCCAATGCGCTTAAACGAGGAATCAATGAATCGCATCTCCACACTGAGGGCTCCCTATGGAGTTTGTGATGATGTGCATAATGAGAAGGGGGGGAAAACCAACGGCACAGAGTCAGGATAGCCTGATCAGACCATCCCAACGTCATGAGAGCATGCTGGAGCGATCAGACACAGGAAAGTCCATCCGTGGCCCGTCGCAACCCATTTACTACCGGGTTTTCCCTGGTGTCTTTTAACTCCACTTCTGTGACAGAGCAGAACGGGTTGCCAACGGCTGCAGGGCACTTCCCAGATGTTGTTGTCTGATTGCACCCTTTAAATCCACTCGGCACTTGCACATATTGTCAGGTCTAATTGTGCATATGATCTCAGCCATGGTATAGTACCTCCCACTGAACCACAATATTTTTGTTTTAAAATAGACTACCACTTCCACTTGAAAGGACATCCAAAAAGGAGGAAAAATTAGTTCACAACTCTTGTTTACCTCTACTAATTTGGAACATGAGAATGTTAATGTCTTCAAAAATGAGAATGCTTTCTCCTGCTTGTGTAAAATTTGGCAGAAAGGACTCTTTGTGCAATGGGTACACTCTGTGAATTGTATCCTAACTGGGTGAAAAAATACAATAAGTTACACAATTAAATGTCTTCTCATTGAAACCTATTAAAATTAATAATACATAGTGGAAAATCAGACCAGGTATAATAACCATAATAAAGAAAACAGATAAAAGTTTTAAAGAACAAAACAAGACATAATTTAGTAATGGGTTAAAATATCTGTGCACATCTCCATGGTATCACATGGGCCTTTTATCACATGGGACTACTCAAGAGACTTCTATGAGGGACTTGGTCAAAAGTTTTTTTGTGTTTTTTTTAAAGTTCCAAGGATTATGCTCTGGATCATTCTATTTGTTTCCTCTTTGACACTATCAAAAGCAACTCCAAAGGACTGGCAAGGCAGGAGTTCCCTTTGGGGAAGCCTTCATGAGTTTCTTCATAGCAAGGCTTTCCCTTCATTATAGACAAGATCTATGAAGCTAGCACACTCCCAAACAATAAATAAACTTTCTGACATAGCTACTGAAAAATATTATAGAATGGAAAAGAAAGGGGGCACAAGGATATTGATTGAGCTTCGGGTATTGATCAATGTGCTTAGAAGGGTGTCATTCTTGTGAGAATAGCACTGTAAGATCTTTTGCAGTGACTGCTAGGTTCTACTATGCTTGACCACTTTCGGCAGGGCAGCAATTTTAATCTCAAGGGTATGGGCTCCATCCTTGAAACCCAGGATCTATTGCACCAAGCATGCACCCAGAAGTCACAACTTTTACCTAGCAGTCAGGTAATCATACATATCATATTACAAAGCACAATATGTTGGATAGCCCCCACTCTGCTGCTAGTTTTCTACTTTCTTTGATGGCTTGGCCTTTTAAATGAAGGTATTTATCTTGGAACTAGGTAGACACCCAATCATGAGAGGGACAGAATCTAGTGCCTTGGCTTTCTAACCCTGTTACAGAACACAAGAAGCTGCCCAATTAGCTTGGCACTTACCCTTTTTCAGATGCAACATCACTTGGTCTCTCTTGCACATTGAGGTGGGGCTCACGTACAAGCTAACCCTAATAACTAGCTATGGCAAAACCTCTACACTCTTGTTTTAATGGAGGGCCTGTCAACCCTGAACTTTCAAGCGATCAATCATCTACCGTATGCAGTGCTCCCTCTAAGCAGTGGAGTCTTGTGAGCAAAAAATCTACTTTGTGAGCTACTGGCATTAAAGTTGTGAGCGAGCAATTTGGTTACTCCATAAATTAGTTTGCTCTGGAGCCATTCTTCCTGAGCTAAGACAAGAATGTGTGAGCTGGAGTTTAAAAAACTGTGACCTAGGTCACACAAACTCAGTTTAGAGGGAACACTGGCTGTATGTCTGAGTGGATTTGAATGTGGTTGTAACATCCAACCAGAGAGCTGATAGAATGTTCAGGGAAAGATTTTTGAGCTGAGGGTTAGCAGCTGAAGGTGTGAGAATCTGAGGAAAGCAGGCATGTGGATTTAAGGCCTGTCTCTGGGAGTGAGCAGACATGTTAGTTTGGTGTCTCACTCTTGGAAAGGAAGAGAGCAGATGAAATTATTAACAAGAGTCTGTCTCCAGGGTAAAACAGACCGGGTAGATTTGAAGTCCTGCATGCCAGTGGGTCTAATCTGGTTCAAATAATTCCCCTAAGTAAGTGAGAAATTGGCTGCGAAGTCATTGTGAATTATTAAGTTAATTCATATACACTATTCTTGTACACTGTAATTTGGGAAGAAGATAATATTTTACCTTGGCCTGAGCTGCTGTAGTATTACTTCATTTGTAACCTGTTCATAGTATTTCTGACAACTTTACCAAAAAAAAAAAAATCCGTCTGAGAAGAATAAAACTATTTTGTTCTTTTCAACCTTGCCTCAAGTGACTCAGTGTCCTGACAGAAAAATAGACATTTTATCTAACATCAGGGAACCCGCTATTTTATAGCCCTCAAAATAAGCCCTACAAATGCTACCATAGGATACCACCTCAAAGATGGAGAGAGAGATGGTCTGATACTACATGCCTAAAATCCTCTGAGATTATAGGGAGCTGTAACAGGGATTATCTGATCAAACAGCATGTATGAGCATATTATGTTGACTGGGTAGTTATTAAAGGTGGAAAACTGAGACGTTTAAGAGAGTGAGATCTACTTCGTCTTAAATCCAATATATTGGAACTTTCTAAAGTCTAATATTTAGCCATTGGATTAGCAACTTTTAAAATTATCACAGATCTAGGTCTAGCTGTCCTTCAGGTGTGTGAACCGCATTTTCCAAGCCATTTTCTCAGTACTGCTAAAATATCTCTGTTCCTCAGACTGTAGATCAGGGGGTTCAGCATAGGGGTCACAACGTCACAAAACACAGAGACAATCTTATCCTGTCGTGGTGTTCTGTACGACCCAGGTCTCATATATTTAAAACTGGCTGCTCCATAGAAGATGCCCACCACACACAGGTGGGATATGCAGGTGCCAAATGCCTTGCGCCTTCCTTCAATTGACTTCATTCCCAGGACTGTCAAAAGGATGGAAACATAGGAAGCCAGAATGACTGAGAAAGGACTAAGAAGCATCACAAGGCCAGTGAGGAACAATCCTTTCTCATAGGTGGATGTCTCAGAACAAGACAACTTCAGCACACTTGGAACTGTGCAGAAAAACTGATTGATGACATTTGACTTACAGAAGGATAGACGAATAATAGAAATGGTGTGTATCAGAGCATGAAAAGAGGCACCGATCCAGACTCCTGCCGACAAGACTAGGCAGATCTTCCTGGTCATGAGTACAGGATATTGCAAGGGCTTGCATATTGCCACATACCTGTCATAGGACATCACAGTCAGCAGGAGACATTCTCCCCCTCCCATGGTCAATGTGAAGAATATCTGGATGCCACATCCGGCCAATGAAATGACATTCTTCTTGGTTAAGAAGTCCATTGACATTTTAGGAACAATGGTGAAGATCTGGCAAATGTCCATAAAGGACAACTGACTGAGGAAGAAATACATGGGGGTCTGAAAATCAGAACCTGTTTGGATCAGCAAAAGAAAGAGACAATTCCCAAACAAGGCGATAAAGAAGGCAACTAGAAGAGCACCAAAGAAAATAGTGTGGGTTGTTGTGTGGTTCAACAACCCAAGGAAAACAAACTCAGTCCATGATGTCCTGTTCATCTTGTCCATTTTGCTTCACCAGAAGGCACAAAAGAAAGGCTGGATATCGAAACAGAAAGGGAAATCTATGAAAAATTAATAATTAAGCAATTGTATAAAAAGGGGATAGATGCACCATTCTACTTACAGTGTTATAATGACATTTGTCATGAGGTCAATTCCATAGCCCTCCCCGGTCCAAGTTAAAAAATTGGATTTTTAAAAAAGAAATCTAAATATTCTTTAATATCTCAAGATCTTTGATGTTAAGTCTCACTGAAACCATCTTATATTTTGCTCTGATGCTCAACATAATGCCCACAACCAAGCAGCGAAACACTTCTTATAGCCCTGGACATCCTTACTAATTAAATACTCTGTGATACACCTAATTAGTTTTGTTTTCCAACGCTATGGCTGCTGTTTGCATCATCCAGGGAGCTTTGGGATCAGTTCCAAAAATAACCTATCGAGTGATTTCTCTGACAGATTATCCGAGTTAGAACAGGAACCCTAGGCTGAACAAACTGGGCCATCGCAGAATATTCTGCAGGACAACCCCATCGGTGAAGGATACTTCAGGTCTGAGACTGAGTAACCATCTGGTTTAATCCTTTCAAAGCAGGCAGATGTGGCTGAACTGGCTGGGTGAATTTTGCAGTCTGGCTCTGAGTAGGGACAGCTGTATAGTAGGGGCACAAGGCATTAATCTGTCCCCGTGGTAGCCAGGGACTGGGCTAGCGAGAAACACTGAGGCAAGGCATTTGAGCTTGGAAGGGGAGCTGAGGGTCCTGATCCCTTCAGTGGGAAATCCCTGTATTGATCAGGTGGTGGTGGAGGCTACTGGAGAGTAAAAAGGAGAAGCCCCTCCAGGGAGTTAGTAACCCCAAAGAGGGCAAGGCAGAATGGGCCCTGCAGGCCAGAGTGGGCACCTTCTGCCAAACCCTTATTGGGACCTAGCTCTTCCACTTGGGAACCACCTACCTCCTAACCCAAAGTTAAATACTTTAAGGAGGGAATGTGTAGACTTTTTAAAAATCTCTTGTGCATGAGATCAAGGAAGTATCCAAGGAGGAACCCAAGGAAAAGTTCAAACAAAATGGACAAATTGGAACCAACTAGTTAGTAGCCTACACCATATATATGGGGGGGATTCTCCAAATTCAGCCAGACAAGACGCTATCATTCAAGGTTTAAAGCATTATCTATGGGGTATTCACAAGTATGTGGGCACCACATGACTTTAGGTGCAATGAAATGGTTAGTATGCAGGGGCCCAGATTAACACAGGATAAACAGTAGGGATGGGCACTTTCCTCAAGTTGCACTGGACTGAATTTAACCAGACCGACCCAGTTTCTGGACTGGTTCTCAAACTGAACCACGGCCGGTTCGTGAACTGGTTCATGAACTGGTCTGGATGCAAAAAAAACCCCTGGGGGTTCTCATGGCTCCAAATTCTCAGGGTAATTCCAGCTCACTCACCTCGATGTGCCCACCAAGTTTGATCCCCATTGGACTTTGGGGACAGAGCTACAGACCCCCAAAGTAACAATGCTTTTCAATGGGATGTCACCCCTGCTGGTTTGGGAGCAACCAAAACTAACTCGAGTGAGCTAGAGACCTCCAACTTGCACAGTCACTCCCTGAGGTGGCCCTCCACATGCTCCACATGTCACATCCCTGTCGGGTCTGGGGGGTCTGAGTAGCAGACCCCCAAGCCAGGTGCCCCCAGGAAACTGCTTCTGGAAGATCTGTCCAGTGCCGGTTTCAGTCAGTACAGAGCAGAACTGGTTAAGCTACAGGCATCCACCTCCCAGAGGACCTCCTCAGGGACCACCTGCATGGTTGTGGGTGGCTGTGTCTTTCTGGGGCCAACCACCCAGCCCTTTTGACATGAGGACTGGTTGGGGCCAAGCCTCCCACCCTGCCCAGGAAGGTGATAGGGACCTAATGAATGTGACTCTCTGCATGGCTGTGGCAGGAGGGCTCTGGTGGACTAGCAGCCAGGACCTGAAGTATCTCAAGGATGAGGGGTTTGGGTCCACCCACCAGAGGGACCCGGCACCCAATGAAAAACTCCCAAGGCTCACGGACGAGATGGAATGCTGATCTCCATCAACGATGTCCACAATGAGGCCAGACATGCATGGATGTTGTCAGGCTGGGGGCCAGCAGTCTTCAGGGGTGGCTGGCTGTTGCCCTGCAAGCTTCTTATGCAGTATGGACTTGAAGTTTAACTTTAAATCTAGACAGTACAATGAGTGTGCCAGGGAAAAAGGTCTGATTGGTGACCATGTGACAGAGCCCACTTACTGGACACAGAGACATGTGCATAGCCAAGGAAAGCCTTCAGCATGTTGGTTCAGAAGTGGACCCATAGAAGACCTGATGCCATCCATCCCTGCATTTCTAAGTCACTGCAGACCCAGGTAGATGGCACGTCAGCCTCCCTGAGAATCGCAGCCACAAGGAACCAGCATCCAGACTTATAGAGGAGCCATACTTTGCAGAGACAACTTGGACTTTCCTGCTCAAATGCCATCATGCAGGCATTTCCCCCCACACACACCTTCTTCCAGCAGCATTATCTGGAACTGCACGTAGTCATCTTCAAGTTAGACAAAAGAACTTGGCCGTGACAGGATTAACTGGGTTTAGCACACTCATCACCCATCAAAACAACGCAGCTGCAGACCATCAGATCATTGACGTTAATGGCTAGCCAAGCACCTTGAATGACTGCCTGTTCTTCTCCTTTGTCTTAAACCCAAACTCTGAAAGGTGTCACTTAAAGAAACATTGTCAATTGCCCAACCATTAATCCTATTCTTTTAGCCCATCAAGGCACTAGTAGCATCTAGCATGTTCCTGGGGACTACATGCTTGGTGGCTCATACCCCCAAGCCCCTTCTTAGGGCATAAAAGGAGAATATCTGACCATGCTGTCTCTCTCTCTCTCACACTTCCTCTCTACCTGCCCCCACCCTACCTTGCTGACTCTCGATCTAGTGCTATCCAGAGTCTATCCACATGCTCTGCCGGTCAGAACACGGCCCCTTTTCCTTATAGTCTTCCTCATTTTTTGCTGCAGGATTGCTTCATCACACCTGGACAGGTACTTATCACCCTCAATGAAATACCTGCTAATGCAAACATCTCTATACCTTTTCTGTCTAAGTTTCTTAGCTCTGTATTGTGTGGTGTGTGCTTGGGTTTTATTGTGAATGTGCAAACTCCCTAAGTAAAGAAACCATTTCATAAAGATCTGGTCTCTGCGTCTATTTTTGGGTTACTGGAATAAGCAGGACTTCTGTATACATAGGTTATTGTTCCCTTTT